CTTGTTTATTTTCCCTAAATCAGCCACCTTCAGCATCTTAGTTTGGCTTTAATCTTCACATGTACGTCCAGCGGTTCCACTAAGCATGACCACCACCAGTGAAAAATCCACTGACTAACAAGAAACCAAACTGGACAGGATTTTTTTTGGTGTATGCAGCCCGGTTTCATGACAATTTAGGACATTTTGTATGTCATTAGTAAAGCAGGGACACATTAGCCACGTCTCTTACCCCACCCCTACTAAATTAGTGCACAAAAAGCTGCAAAACATGCCTGAAGTATTAAAAGATGGAAAATAATTTCTCCTGTTCATTTCCGTCCTTCAATGAGGAGCTGGAGATAACTGCACATAATTCAGTGTATATTTAATTTTAATGTTGTGAGCTGCATGCACTTAGCACTTAGTACTAAATCATTAACAAAACTGACTGACCTCAAGATCACAGAGGAAAAATCTATGATGCTGGGATCAAGCGGAGCATACAGCGCAATGAGTGCTACGGCAGGAAACGGGGAGATGAGCAGGAAAAATTTCTACAACTTTTACAGTTTGATGTGACACTAAACGTGCTGACTTCCTTCCCAACCGGCGCATCATCGGACAGGCACGCAGCTTTTAAAATCCAGCTCGAGATTTCCCCGCGTCTTTCTGCCACGCATTATAAAACTTCTAAGACGTGGGAGTAGAAGAGTAAGGGTGTAAAAACTAGGACGTGTGGGTGGTCTCCCTTCAGGGCTACTGCCACTTTCTATCAACCAAGTAGCTCAAGGCAAAACAAAAGCCAGGAGAAGCATTTCAGGGGAATTTAACTATCACACAGCCATGCCCTGCTGATATTTACTACAATAAAGCAAAAAAAATCCCCAAACCACCACTTCATTTATCCAATAAGAACACGAAAGTATGAATCACATTAAAGCATCTAGCTTCAGTTTGTCACATTTAAATTCTTTTGGATAAATAAATATAAAACAGACACCCTTGACCTTAATAAGCTGTAAAGGTCAGGCTTTTAATGGGCTTGTTCTGCAGGCAAATTGGTTAAAAACAATCAACTGATGGCTCACTAAAAAGCCATGCAAGTGTGCATGAAAGGCTGGACTGGACTAGTTCTTACTATCTACTGCAGACTGAAAAACAATCGCACAAAACAGGCTTTTCAGCAAGTAAATGACCGCACTTACCTTCACCCACAATCCCAAGGACTTCAAATTTATTCATTACATCACCAAGGTCAGGGATCTTCATGAAGTCAAAAGGTATGCTGTGTGAGGTGGGTGGAGCTCAGGCTCGGGGGCCCCGGCTACAGGACTGCATGAGTCGGCCAGCTGTCGGCTCCTGAGAGGCGAACGCCTGCTGTAAGCCATAATATCCGTCACATGCCTCCGTCAGTGCCTCGTCTTCACCTGCAGGAAAACAATGCACCAAATCAAAATAGATAAAGAGCCCTCTTAGCTCAGAGTTAAAAGAAAATCTACCGATACTGAATTCACGAAAGCTTGAGAAAAAATGAATCTGTGCCACAAAACTAGCAATCCTTTAGTTAAAGGGTGATTCCTGCTTTGTATAGGTCCCTTTTATTAAGCTGGAGGAGTTTAGAAAGGGTGACTAGAAAGAACAATGATCAAAATGGGTGAAGCAGAGGCTGAAATGTCCCAACTTTTGGTCCCTATTAAAATAAAAAAGCAGGATCCTCCAATTCCCAGAAAGCAGTTTAATACAATCTATCATTCGTCCTCCTTTGCCTGCACGCCCTCATTTCTTGATCTCCATGCCCACAGTTTTAAAACACAGGCTTTCTTCCAGCTAATTGATATCTTCAGCTTTACTAAAGATAACCCTGATCATATCACAAGGGTTATTTTCTCAAGACTTGACGAAGCTCCTCTAGAGCCACAGAAGACACTGTACAAGGGTATTAACAGGCTGTGCAGGCTCCCCATACCGAGCGAATGGACGCGAATGTGTGAAATCAGTGGACTGTCTCGTCAGCATAAATTAAGTAAATAAAAAGGTTCCATATTATAGTTTACAGACCCTGATGAAAATGATGGTGAAAATAGTAAATTCCTACCTGTTTAGAGAGAGTGAAAGGGCACCGCGCGCATTTTGAACGTGATCAAAGGATTTCCTCTGGTATCCACACACTCTTTATTGAATCAGATAAGACTCCAGATACCACTTTCTCCATTTCATCTTCTCCTAGCTGGAAAGCTCAAGGACTTGTGTAGCCTACACACACACTCACACACACACACACTTGCAATCTCCTACAGAGCTGTGGGCACAGGAGCTGCTCATCACTATGCAAAAACCTCGGCACCAAAATAAACTGAGTCTCCCTGAACACCAAATATCGCTGTGTGGTCTGTTACTCCCTTATCTTACTCAGCAGCAAACCCTCAACTGTAGGCTAAACTCAAACACTTTTCACCTCGCAGAAAATGCCTTTTATTTTTCACTCATGAGTGTGTTTCTGTGCTTCCCTTGGTCCATTTCAGCTTGTAGCCTACATGAGGTGGTATGCAAGCCTATTGTTTTTCCCAAGCAGATTTTTGCCAACTAACCCACCAGGCCCACTCCTGGAAGGATAATATGATCAGGAATGCACAGTGCATGGCTGTAGATCGTATATTTTGTCTCTATCAACAGCATGACTCATGCGTGGTGCGTGGAATTGAAAATGCAGAACCTCCAAAATCTCTTCATATGATCAGTGCACTAGTATTTATGCAGAATTGTGTCTTTCTGATGATTAAAATTTGACAAAGTGGTGGAAATTTGTAGAAAACAACAACAACAACAACAACAACAACAACAACAAAAAAGGGATCCATCTAACAACGTCACTCAGGTTTAGAGTAACGTGATTTTTTTGGGGTTAATTACACACAATTACGCAAACAACAATAGACACAAGTTTAAATTTAAGATAAAATTATGGTTGAAAAAAAGAAAAAGAAATTTACTGCTGTTTATGTAAAAATCTCACCTGCATTTGTGGTGTTGCTTCTTATAACAAGCCTCTCACGTTCTTAACAGCTACAAAGGTGAAATGTAGCTGTCACAAATCATAATTTTTAACTGTAGCCTGTGTATCTAATTGTGTATATGCACATATGTATGCGTGTGCGTGTGTGTGAGAGAGAGACAGGGAGCTATGACTGCCCACAGACTGACTGTAGCGCCCACATTTTTAATGCAGAGCAACAGCAAACCCAACAAGTCAAACATATGAAGCCAACTTAACAGAAATTAACAGTTTTTTTCCCTAGTTGTTGTTGAACCAGCTGATTCAGAAAACATGCATAACAAACCTCCCGCCTGCCTTAACACATAAGAGATCCGAGTCACCCTCGCAGGTTAAGTGTTACCCAAGTAAAGATAAAAGAAACTACTCACTCAGTCACTGTTTTTGGGGAAAAACGATGGAAACAGGCCCATATAAATATATCCACCCACCAACGACGTTATTTTCATTGCAGCAGGCAGCTACAGTAACTGGATCGTGCGGTTGACAAGCTCCGAGCCCATCGCCAGGCAACAGTTCGAGCGACGTGACAGCGGCCAATGAAAATGCTCGGAACAGTTGTTTATTCCAACGCCCCCTTAGTTTCAGCCAATTACAGCACAGATGGCTTCCTGAGAGAGGGGGGGCGAGGGGAGGGTTGCTGAAAACTGTGTTGCGGTCTGAGGGTGTTTGGTATGAAGGTGGGATATTATTGTTCTAATTTCTCAATTACATAATTCTGGCAAATCACACCCCGCGTTCAAATATGACAACATAATTTAGCTAAAGGCCACTCCAAAGTACATAAAGAGGCAGAAAGATTGCCTTTTAAGGATGTTCTGATGTAAGGTGTATACACAAGCTACATTAGAGAGGAGTAAGTGCCTTGCTTAAGGGTAAGGGTGAAAACTGGACAAAACAAACTACAAGAGAGAGTAAGTACACGTTAATGGTGTGTAATAGTGGGATATAAATGCATCAGGGAGTGAAGAGGCATAAACTGAGACTCCCAGCTGCAGTCTAAAAACTTGTGGAATGTGAAGAAACTGCTGTGACTTTATATCCAAATCGTGTGCGCATTGTTTTCAAGAGAAATCCACTGTAGCTAAACACAGGCTGGGCTGCACTTTTTGCAATGCCAAATTTCACCACTAGGTGGTGCAGGGAGTCGGTAGAACTTATTAATTTACTTACTTATTTAATCGGTAAAGTCATGAAGAACACATTCTTAGTTAAAATGATAGGATGTGGAAAGGAAAAGATTCACGATTATAAAGCCTGTCAACAGAATCTGCAGCAAAGGTACTTTACGGGTACTGTATTTTTCGGACCATAAGGCGCACCGGATTATAAGGCGCATTAAGCGAAACAAAACAGTCAGATAAGACAAACTTTACTCAACTCATTCTTCTTGCTTCCTCCACTTCCGTACCATTGATTCATTAATGTTAAATTCTCCAGCAGGTACTCTATTCCAATGTTGTTGCAATACATTAATGACCAACCTCTTATTGTGGATGGATTATCTCAGTTGTTCTCCTGACTGACGTTTGGTCCGTTTACAGCATCCTGCCATGCGATTGCATTTGTCCCTAACCATAGGGAACCCTCACGTTAACTTTTATCTAATTGAAAAAGGTTAGCATTCATCCACCAGCTTTACTGTGTTTATGTTATGCTAA